ATTTTTGGCATAATACTTTTTGCTAAGTCATAGCTTTGATTTTCAAGTTTAATTTTTTTAAAAAAATGTATTCATTCCACAGATACACAAAGCAAGTGAACCTGTAATTTAGTTATAACCAATTGTTAGGGGAACCTTAGTTATGATTTTGGCAAGTTTTGCCTGATTTGGAGATATATGCTTTTCTCTTCTTCCTTCACATCCTCCTTCTTTTGTCAGAAATAATAGGAATAATAGCAGCTGCCATACTAGGAGTCCTGGTGGCTCAGTGGTTAAACCAAAAGGTTGACAGTTTGAACCCATCCAGTAGCTCCATGGGAGAAAGACTTGGGAATCTGCTTCTCTTAAAGATCACAGCCTAGGAAACCCTGTGGGCAGTTCTACTCTGTCACATGGGGTCACTGTGAATAAAAAATGGACTTAAAAGCACCTCACAACAATAACCATACTAGTTGTTTTATATACTCAGTGCATAAAATTATTGCACCAACCAAAGAGGTAGTAATTATTTTCTGTATTTTGCCAACTAGGAACTGCAGTTCATTAGTTTCTGTGAAATCTGCACCTTGAGCCCCTATCTAGCTATGAAACTCTGCACTTTCTACTATGCCTGGCTGGGAAAGGCATATCTCCTTTGAAGAGGCTGAAGTTTATATTAAATGATGTCTATTTAAAGAAAATGCTCTAACATAGAGTCACATGTTCATAGGACCATGCATGTTAGAGAAAGGACAAGTGGACAGGGGATTAAGAGAGTAGGGAAGGGTGGGTCTCAGTGCTAGAGATCTAGCAAACGCCTGCTAGGCTTTTGCCACCTGGAATGAGGATCCATTTTGCTAGGACTTTTGATTTTTATTTGAATTTGTCCTGATTTTTAAAAAACTACTTAGTAAAATTTATAGAAAACTCAAATACCTCAACAACAAAAAGGCAAATAGTCCAAGTAAAAAATGGGCAGAAGACATGAATAGACACTTCACCAAAGAGGATATTCAGGTGGCCAACAAACACATGAAGAAATGTTCACAATCATTAGCCATCAGAGAGGTGCAAATCAAAACAACAATGATATATCATCTGGCACCAGCACTAATAGCAAAGTTCAACCAGACAGAAAATAGAAAATGTTGGTGAGGATGTGGAGAGACTGGGACTCTCATATACTGCTGGTGGGACTGTAAAATGATGCAACCACTGTGGAAAGCAGTATGGTGATTCCTTAAAAAATTGGAATTAGAAATACCATTTGACCCAGCCATCCCATTACTAGGTATATATCCTAAAGAAGGGAGAGCCAGGGTAAGAACAGATATATGCACACCCATGTTCATCACAGCTATTTACAATAGCAAAAAGATGGAAACAACCTAGGTGTCCAACAACAGAAGAATGTATAACCAAACTATGGTACATATACACAATGGAATATGATGCAACCCTAAAGAATAACATAGAATTGGCAAAACACCACATAACATGGATGAATTTGGAGGGCATTATGCTGAGTAAAATAAGCCAATCACAGAAGGACAAATACTGTATTAGTTCATTATTGTAAAAAGTCAAGGAGAAGTTTATATATGGAAGGAAACTTTCTTTGTTGGTTACCAGAGGTGGGAGGGGAAAGAAGGAAACACTGCAAAAATTTAAAAATAAATAAATAAAAGACTATGTAGGCCAAACAAACCAAATCATGGGCTGTTGAACTTACCTGGCTGCTTGTCTATGATCTTTTCTTTAGAATAACTTTTAAAGTAAATTCTAGGCAAAAATGTCATGATACTAGACATTGTGCTTAGGGTTTTTCATCCCTTAGCAGATTGAATATCACAAGCCTGAAAGTCAGATACTGTTATTATGTCCCTTTTATAGGCAAAAGAACTGTGGCACTGACAGGTTAAGAAACTTGCCCAAGTTAGAATGTTGGAGAAGGATTGAAAACTTATGTCTGTCTAACTTTAATGTGCTTCTCATTATTATCTCTTAACCAGCATATTCAGGCTATAGCTAATATTTTGTCAATTCTCATGAGATAGTTTACATTGAAACTGTCTTTAAAAAAAAATCCTTTTAATTTTTTTTTTTTGTAACATGCATATTTACCTCAAGGGCATTATGTTTGGTGAAGTAGATGGTCAGCAAAAATGAAGGAAGCCCTTGATTAGACAGTAGCCACAACAGTGGACTCAAACACAGCAACAATCATGGAGACGGCACAGGAGCAGGCATCATTTTGTTCTTTTATATGTATGGTTGCCATGGGTCAGAGCCGACTTAATGCAACTAATAATAGCAACATGTTTACCTTATTACCTTATGTGGCAACTGCAACTCTTTTTCCATTCCCTTTTTGCTAGGCACAGAAATCAGAAGGCAGAGTGTTTCAAGGAGCATACATTAAGATTCTAAAACATGGGCCTAATTTCTCAGAGTTATGAGGGTACCCCATGGATGAGATATTGTCAACTGAGACTTCTTTAAAAATCAAAGTATAACTTATTCAGTGAATATGGAACTCCATTAACAAAACTCACACTGACTTCATATTCTGGTCCCTTTTTGTCTTCTTCCTTCTCTGCCTCCTGCACATTTCCTACCCCACCAACACACATATGCACATGTATGGAGAGATTGCTTTGCCATCATAGGTTCAGGCAGAGTAGAATTTAGGGAAAATGCTCTTAACTGTACCTGAGAATCCCATCTCTTGACCTCTGCCTACGCTAACTATATGTCTCAAGAGTAACATTCCACTCAACTTCCCTCTCCCCAACCCACTCTGCCAAGACAGAGGCTCAATACATTGGGTATGTAGAGATTTTCTGATTAAAGAAAGGGCTCTAAGTTATGAATGGTGCTCAGTCCACAGACCAGCAGTCATGAATCCTGTGCTATATACCTGGAGAATAAATACCTCACAAAGTAAAAGACATTTTGAGCATAATTTGGGTGATTTAGTCTTATTTAAAAACAAATAAATCATGGATGTTGTTTCTTAGAAACAATGCCTTTTTGTTCAGTAAATTTCCATGTGGGGAGCAGACTTGTTCAGAATCATTCTATGGACTTTATGGCTTAAACTCAGTTTGTTTTTCATGTGTGCTTGTTTTTTGGAACAGCATTTAAATATTTAAAGTCCTTTTCTGGGGGATTTAGAAATGAGGAGCCTACAGAACTAAATTGAGCTTGGCTCAATGTGGTTGCTTTTAATCTGTCTTCCCAGCCACACAAGGGAAAGCTTTGAAAGATAAAGTAAACCACAAAGCAGCAGCCCAGCACAGCTGAAAGAACTCTTCCATTCAGGAGTGATAGTGGGGGCGTGAGATGCTTAAAGTCCCAAATCTGTAGGGGAGAGAAAGGAAATGTCTGTAAGAAATAAAGGGCTGCATAGTTGGTGTCAGTAGACAGGGGAGCCAAGTAGCAAAAGGGGAAATACTGCCTGCTTTGAAAATCACCTCTCTTCAAATGAATAAGGTTAGAAATTAGATTGGAAAATTAGAAGTAGTCCATACAAACATTCAATGAAAAGTGAGTTGGAGAAGTAAACGAGGATGGATAATTGTGTTTGTTGTTTAAGGGAGGGGAAATTTTAGAAAATTAAAATAAATTTAGGCTGCCCAACCACTAAGTTACATTTACTGGAAAAAGTAGTGTCATTACATTAGAGTATTAGATGTTGGCATGGAACTGAAATGTGCAATGACTGAGTGAAGGAACTATATCTGGGTCTTTGCCCTTGTTTTGGACATATAGGATATACTGAACCACCTTTGCTTTCCTTATTTTAGCATATCAGAGTCCCTCCATAAGGGGCTGACATCACTTCTACACACAACCTTTTGGCCAAAATCTAGTCACCAAATCTAGTCAATTTGGGTAGTTACATATCTTTGGGTTAAAAAAAAATGCACATGCTTTTCTTTGGGTATGTACTTGGGAGTGGAATTTCTGGATCATAGGTATATATCTAAGGCGCTGTGGTGGTGTAGTGGATAAGGCATCTGACAGCTAACCAGAAAGTCAGTGGTTCAAACCTACCAGCCGCTCTGCGGAAGGAAGATGGGGCAGTCTGCTTCCGTAAAGATTTACAGCCTTGGTAACACAATGGGTGACACTATGAGTTGGAATCGACTCGATGGCAGTGAGTTGTGTTGAGTTTTGTTAAGGTATATATCTGTTCAGATTTAGTAGATATTGCCAGACCGACTTACAAAATGGTTGTACAGATTGATAATCCTACCAGCAGTCCATGATATTACTGGTTGCCCCACATCCTTGCCAACACTTGATAATTATCCACTTTTCTTTTATCTTTGAAATGGCTTTATCTGTTGCTGACATAACAACAACAACAATTGCTGTCATTGCTGCAATGTGTGAAGTTTCATGCTTGAAGCAGAGTTCCTTTTTTCTTTTTTTCCTTTTTCATCACTAAACAAAATTAAAAATGTGCATTTGTTCTCTTTCTTCAGATAGAAAGACTCATTTGGTTTTTGAAATTTAGCTCAACAGATATTTAGGCTGTGCTAGGCATTTTGCAGTTTGAAGAGACTGCGAACCCACAGTGTCTGCCATCCAGAGACATACAGCATCGATTTCTGGCCCAGAAGGACAAATACTGTTGAATTAGAGATGAGGAGAAGGGATCTTCACCCAAACATTCCTTCCTTCCTCCCAGTCATTTAGCCTTAGATATTTCCTTTCTTGTCAAGATAATTTTTCCTTTAACGCTTTTCCTGCACAAATGGCCATTACAGCCTTGTTTAACCCCTTCTGCTTCTTAAAAAAATACTGATTTGAAGACTCATTTGGCTTTTGAAATTTAGTTCAACTGTTAACATGCATGAGAATGTCCTGTTATGTACATAAAAGTATAGTCTACAAGGCCCATCATGTGACAGACTGTCTCTCATATGTGTCAGGATTATGTCTCCTTTGATTGTGTGGACACAGCGTGCTTTCGCAGATTTTTCAGAAATACCAGTATTGCTCCTTTTCAGAAATTTGGAACCATTCGAGCAGATCTGATTGAGCAGATGAGATTCAAACAGAGACTGAAGGTGATCCAGACACTTGAGGATACAACGAAACGGAATGTGGTAAGTCCTTTGAGAATTAGCATGTGGCCTTCTTCCTCCATCATTCCTTCTACTCTTATGGACTCAGATTCCTTCTTGACAGAACTGAAGATGGTTTAATAGAAGAAAGTCAGGAGATTTCCCAGTATGGTATTTTTTTGAGTTTGTGAAATTCTTTGTGTTTATTATGGTTACAGGTGCGCACCATTGTGACAGAAACTTCCTTTACCATTGATGAGCTTGAAGAACTCTATGCGCTTTTCAAGGTAACTTTAAGAGCAAATGCATGTACATTCAATAGGGAAAAAGAACTCACCTTAGGGGTTCAGTCAGTCTTTTATTTTTCTGTTAAATTGTTAAGGGTAAGGTGTCTCAAAATGTATAAGTATGAAGGTAGCGCTAAAAATTCAAAACTGGAGTACTTACTAAGAAAAATAAACATATTCTAATAACTAAAGTTGATATCTTTGCTCTCTTTCAATCCACATAAATTCTAGCTGATTCCTTGGACCTAAGAAAATTATTAAATTATTACTTAATAATACTGATTAGAACAATGGTGATAAAGTTTAAATTCTGCCTAAAATTATTATAAATTGTAATTTCATATATTAAGCTATCTAAACCACTGCCCTCATGTCAGTTCTGACTCATGGTGACACCCATTGGGTTTCCAAGGCTGTAAGTCTTTATGGAAGTAGATTGCTTCAACTTCAACCCACAGAGAAGCTGATGGGTTTGAACTTCCAACTTCTGATTAGCAGCCAAAATGCCTTATGCCCTGGGCCACCAGAGCTCCTTATGTTAAACTATATTATACCCTTTAAATGAGATAATACGTAGCAAGCTAAATTAAGAGTAAGTCTATTGGAATGTTTTAAGGAAAAGCTTAACTGGCTAAGTTTCTGTGCTTTCCAATTCATAATTCAGCCCCTAGCAACTTTGATCCTTTGTAAGAAAGTATTATGCTAGTAAATAAAGCAATGCATAGATTTTTTCCTTTTAGGAAAAATATCTTTGTCGCAACTCATTATTAACATCACAGGTAAAATATGATAATTGGCAGGAAAAGAGTCTGGAGAATGCCTTTTATGCAGGAATCAATTTGATCATGATCTCTAATTGGATAGCTCTATGTATATAGCACATAACAACAACAAAATGTATATGGTACTTTTGCTATCAGAACTAAACTGCTTTGAGCACTGCAAAGATAGTGCAGGAACAAACATAAATATCTGAGTCAAGCACTAATAGATTTTAGCATCAAAGAACATGATAGCTAGGAGTATTACAGCAGGCAACCCTCTTGCCTGGGAGCTCCTGGAAGGTACTACCAATTTATTTGCTTTTGTTTCACTAGAATCTAGTTTAGTTCCTCTTCCCTGGTACATGTTCCAAATATGTTTGAATAAATAGATAAATTAGTAATCAGTTATCAAGATAATACAGCCCTTGCATGCTTATGAGGAAATGGAGGCCCAGAGAGATGGAAGTCCTTGAGCTTGCTGTTTAGTGATACATTTTGTGTATGTGGCAGCAGCAGCAGCAGTGCCAACAGCATGGACAACAGCGCCCCCACCAGCCTCCATGCAGCTCTTGAGGGTGAATTCTCCAGTGAATCATCTCATTATTGTTTTTTTCATACATGTTAGGCCCCTGTAGCTAATTGCTCAATGTAAATTAGTTATCCATAGAAAAATGTCCCTCTAGCATTTATAAAGCAAAAATATAATGAGCCAACTAAGACTAGAATAAGCTCAGATTTTAAATGGCTGCTGAGGACTAGAGGAGATCTGTTTCACAAGGTGGCTGGGAGGCAGGCAGGATTCTGGGATACCTAAGCAGAACAGGAGTAATAACTGGAGGCACAGGACCATGGGTCGATAATAGAAAGGGTGATGACATAGGAAGAGGAGGCACACTTTGGAAGACAGCAGAAGAAGGAGGATCAAAGCTGATGTGTAGAAGCACGAGATCTGGAAACAGCTGAAGCCATGTCTTTCCTGGGCAAAGCACTCTCTGCTCTGTGCATCTTCACCTAGCAGATGTGTCATCTGGCATAACTTCATTCCTCAAGAAATCAAGTTTTGTTTTGTTTATCAGAAACTAGCCTATGGGTGTGTCAAGAAACATGAATTCCCCAAGTCTACTGAGCACACCAAGAAAGAATCTGAGACCATTGGTGGCAGGAATGAGAAGGAATGCCTGGTACTATAGAACAAGATAAAAACCTTCAGTTATGGACTTTTTCTGGAAGGTTGTGAACATTTTTGAGTCATTACTATACAACAAGAACTCTGCCAGACATTTTAGTCCTTTATAGAGCCAATTTCTGGGCATTTTCCTGCAGATTCAAAGGCAAACTGCCATCCCTCTCCCAAGGAGCTCACTGCTTGGGTAATGGGGTGAAACTTGGGGGCAAAGGTGAAAAGCTGAGACAAAATAGAGTACAGAATAGAGTGAATGTTCTTCAAGGTCCTATTGGCCTAGTTTCTCTTGAACTCTCCAAATTGGTCTTTCTGCTGCAGGCTCTGGGTCCCAAAGCCCAAAGTGATGGGATATGAGGACCCATTGAGGAATGAAGAAAATGACCTGGACAGCTTGTCTTTTCACAATCACCATGGAAAGTATTTCAGGGATATTCTCATTGCTGTATCAGTTTGGGTGATTCAGGGTCAAACAATCAAAACAAATGGATAGCTTACTACTCTGTAGAGTTATGTAGAAAAAATAAAGAAGGTTGAGAGGATGAGTTTTCATTTTCCAACTGTTGATATTACATTTGGTTAGGTCATGCTGAGAGGCACATGGCTTAGATAAAGCATGACCCCTGAATTTTACTTCATTAGGTTCAAGTCCACTTATAACCCGCATAAACCAAAAAACCAAACACACTGCTGTCAAGTCAGATCCGACTCATAGGCACCCCTCCTTAGGTTTCCAAGGTGGTATCACTCCAGAAGTAGATTGCCCAACCTTCCTTACGAGGAGTGGCTGGTGGGTTTGCACCGCAAGCCTTCTAGTTAGCAGTCAAATGCCTTAGGCACTACGCTACCAGATCTCCTACAGCCTACATACCTTTGTCAATTTATTTAACCTCTCAGAGTCTGTTTCCAAAACTGTAAAATGGCAAGAATAATACTAATGGCATCAGATTCATAAGGTAGTTGTTTTGGTTACTTTGTGCTGCTCTAACAGAAAATATCACAAATGGGATAGCTTTAACAAAAAGGAGTTTATTCTCTTACAACTTAGGAGGCTAGAAGTCCAAGTCCAAAGTGCCAGCTCTAGAGGCTGGGTGAAGGCCCCTTGACCTTGGGCTTCAGCTCTGCCTTTTGCTCCCAGCCCGCTGGAGCTAAAGGTCTCTATTCAATCAGGCAGCTACTGACTGCTGTGGCTAAAAAGCCCAAGGTTGACAAATAAAATGGCACAGTCCCAATATTACCAAACGTGTCAGGACACTAGTTCAAGCCCAGAGACAGTCCTAAGCTCGGCAGGAAACAGAGCAGGCTGTTGAATGAAGACTCAGTTACATGCAGGGTCCAAACAAGCCAAAAAGCTGCAGAGACTGTGCTCGATGCTTCTCTTTATATACTGGAAGCAAACCACATCCCTACGCTGCTCCAGTAGATTCCACCATGGAGTTGATTACCAATCTCACCAAGGGGAATAACTACATCCAGCTGCCCAACCACTCAAAACCAGGCCCAGCCAACTTGACAAATAACCTTACTACCACAGTACTTGAGAAAATTATATGAGATAATCATGTAAAACTTTGAATAAAGAGAGCTGTTATTGTTATTCAAGATATGCCTGAAATATGAGAATTCTAATTGTCTGCAGTCCCTTTAAAACATTAAAAGCACTAAAATGAGTTAATTAATTAAAGTGCTAAAGTCAGCCAGTTCAGAGCATTTAAAATGGAGGACTCACCAAATTCCCACCTCTTAATACTGTGGCAAAGAGTCCTGCTGATGCAATTGTTAAACATTTGACTGTTAATCAAAAGGTCCTTGGTTTGAACCTACCCAGTGGCTCCCACATAGTGGCTCTGCATGAGACAGACCTGGAGATCTGTCCTATAAAGATTACTGCCAAGAAAACCCTATGAGGCAGTTCTATTCTACTACATAGGATCTCTATGAGTTGAAATCAACTCAATGGCACACAACAACATAACAACATTTCCAGTGGAAAGAAGAAAGTATCCCACAGGGTAGCTTTGATTGTGTGCATGTTTGTGCATGTGTGTGTGCACATGTGTGCATGCACATATACATATGCCCTCCCTTCCTTTTCTCTCTTTCCTGTTCTTCTCCCCTCCTCTCTCTATATCCAGGAAATTCTTTTTTTCCTCAATTTTATTATCATTGAAATAAAGATTCTTTGCTTAGCAAGACTAGCTTTTAGAATGGAAAATAAAAACAATGGTATAGATTTAAGGAGCATACTCTGCTTTTAACTTACAAGAGCTAACATACAGTGGGCATTTACTGTGTGCCAGGTATTGCCCTAGCTAATTGGGATGGATTAGCCCATATAACTCTTCCAAGAATCTTGAGCTATAAATGATATTATCATCCTTATTTTACAAGAGGAATCTGAGACACAGAGAAGTTAAATAACTTTCCCTAGATCATAGAGGGGAGCTCTGGTAGCATAGTGGCTAAGGCACTTGACTGCTAACCAGAAGGCTGGCGGTTCAAACCCACCAGCCACTCCTCGGAAGGAAGGTTGGGCAAT